TAGAGGCATGCAAGAACATACAGCAAGTAGATCTAAAGATATCTAAATTTAAAGAAAGAAAATCAAGACCGTGGCAGTGAAGAGTAGGCCACTTTCGATATATTAAAATTCAGCTTGATAGCGAAGCCTGGAGGACACAAACAAAAGAAATGAATAAACATGGTCATTCAATTCTCTTTGTTTTCGTCCTCTAAGACTCACTGCTAAGATGAATTTTAACATGTCGAAAACGCTCTATTGGATAGTTAGTGTTTGGATATAGTGTCCAGACCTCAAAATTGCTTTAATTTTAGACCCTACTGTTGGCATTACGAGCGCATATAAAGCCGAAATATTTAAGAAAAAGTGTTTGGTTGTCCTGTACTTTCTTGTGTTGTTTTGCATCCAAGCCAAGCTTGAGTTTTAAAGAAAACCGGACTTCTAGCACCAGGGCAGATGCTAGCGGATAGATGGATGACGTTTCAGCTTTGACATCTTTCTTAGTTCCTTTTTCTTTAAAGGGGCATCTAAAGATTTTCCAAACTCAAGGGCTACTAAGTTTAAGAAAATTGTTGAGGTCAGAAGCCAAAGAGATTGAACTGACAGAAAATTTAAACACTAAATGGGTGAGGAGTGTATTGCACGGTAGATATAGGCCTGATGAAACTTAGAAAGTAAGCGAATAGTTCTAGAATTTAACCGCGAGTGCAGTACGTTCTAGACAGCCAGCGCGCTTAGTAGAAGGCCTAATATATGGATTGAGCTCTAGATTTCTGATAAGGATTAAAAAATTCGCGTGCTTTCCTCCTAGGAAAACCTTCTTGCTGTTATTGTCTCTGTACTGTTATCAAAGTTAACCTCATTACAGTTAATTCCACTCATACTGTACATCGGATTTCTCTTAACAGATGGTACCTTTCCACATAATTGGATCAGATCGTCTGCTTAGAAAAATCCTTAGCCTGATCCTTCTTAAATTCAATTCTCATTCAACGTACCTGTACACGACAAGCGCTTGCCGAGAGCTAAAACTGAGTTCAGCCGAAACCACTTCAAAGAAATACTTTTTAATGGCATTCTTTACCGCAAGCGACCACATTCTCATAGATATTTTTTGCAGAGTATGGCTTTTGGGTTGTTGAGGTTTAAAGTAGGCTGTAATTATATCAATGATACTGTAGAAAATCAAAATTCTTCCGGGATGTGGACCGCTTTGTTGTCTCCACATTGTTCTGCACAGTGTTTGTCGCTATTTAAGGCATGCTAAATTAAACCCAGGGAGAGACCAATCGAGGTATGGTTCGAGCCTATTCCGTTTTAAGTGGTATCTGTTAGGGGTCAGATAAGTTATTTGACCCCTAACAGATACCACTTAAAACGGAATAGGCTTTATTACCAACTGCTGTTCAGGAAAGAAGCCCGGGCTAGTAGACCGGACTCGAGAGACCGGCGGAAATCGAACCTAAAAACGGAAATAAGAGCGTTATTTAATTGTTATCTCTTCGAGTGCACCCTAAAAAATACTTGGACAGCTTAAAATAGTGGCGTTTCGTCGTGAGCACCCTAAGTGACTTATACCCCTAAGAGATAGAAAAGACGAGCATGCCCGGCCTGTTTATATCGGAGTCCCCCCGGGATGCTAAAGTTGGATCCTGCAAATTTTGACTCGGTTATTTCAAATCCCCTGTTATTTCGAACTCAAAACCATTTTCCTTGTATTTGCCCTTCAGTCATTTACTATCAGCTATTTCGAACTATTTTTTCGTTTCCCCTGACATTTTGAGATAACGGGGCTCAACCAGGAGCCCATTACTGGCTCAACTGTATTTCTAATTTCTTGGCCGTCATCTCGTTCATTTTTCTAGGAATACCTTACGGAGTTCTAGGAATTGTTCAACTCGTTGTTCGAAAGGAAAACGGAGAGATACTGGCACTAGCCGACCACCGAAAAGGAGGTGTTGCAGCTGGTTACCGTTGACCAATGAGAAGTCAGATTTACCGTTTTTCAGCTGGGCTGTAATCTACGGGAGAATCTTTGCTTACAATATTTGCCTCATTAGTATAAGCGATACCGTTTCTGACGGAGCTACAAAAACATTAGTTCTGAATATTGAAAGGGTGCAGTACGATTAATTGTGTCAAGGAATTTGAGCACGATGTATTGAGTACTTTTTGTGCTACGCGGGTTTATAAACACAAATTTACAAAGAATGTATGAGCTTATTAGCCAGCTTTTGCCAACCAAAAATTTTGCAATGCTTGAGAGCCAATTACTCCTCGAATAGTACACCCAAAGAGCCAAAAATTTCACTAATTTCTAAGACTTCTACGTTTTACAAGTTCCTAAATTCGTGTTTAGCGTAATGCCTCCTCTGCGCAAAGTCGTCAAATGACGTCAGCAAAGATTTTCCTATAGAGGGATTTTTTTTTCTTCGTCTTCTTTAAACCTTACTCATTTCTTGTTTTCACTTCATGAAAGCAAAATTGATAAAACAAATAATCTAAACACAAAATAATGAAACAAATTATCTGTATTCATTTAATCAATAAAATGTTTCTACCGTATTTGCTCCATAGAGTGGCGCCACTCACTTTATATTTTAGTGTCTCGGTTGCGGCGCTTGTTCGGGGGCTCAAACGAGATGCCGAGAGGCTACCTCGATAACCTCGCGGTTCTATTAGCCTCCATGCACAAACTATAGACCATTGTCACCTTTAATTGTTATATATGTATCTTTTTTTTTCTTTTTTTTCTGCTAATATTGTAATTTCAAAACTGTAAGTTTAAGTGCAAAATAAAGTGAAGTTGAAGTTGAAGTTGAAGTTGAAGTTATTCGGGAGCGGTGCCCTTTAAACAATTATAACATTTGTAAATGGAAATAAGCAAATGTTACCAACAAAATATAGCCACTTCGAACTGAAACGTATTGTACTCCAGGGCCGGGTTGTTGGAAAGCCGCTTAGATCGGTTAACGCTAACCCAGGATTAAAAATTAAACGAAGTATTCATTTTTTTTGGATAAAAAAGTGTTTACACTGCCGAGTCGTGTTTGGTGTAGATTTAGATTACTCAAGTTCAAAACTGGGAGACAAACAATGGAAGCAGGACACCTCACCGAAAAGTTACAAAACTGAGATCAAATCCTCGATTAGCTTGATCGGGTTTTAAACAACCCAGCCCAGAATAATAAATTTTCGAGGCATGTAGTACTTCCAAGAACACCGGAACACGGAACAATGGAACACCGGAACATCCCGGAACATCACGGAACATTCCGGAACACCCAAAAAACCAGGAACACCACCTAAAACCCGGAACACCCCCCAAAAAACCCGGAACATCCCCAAAAAACCCGGAACACCAGAAAACCAGGAAAAGTGCAAAATCTAAAAAGTAAAATAAAAAAAAAAATCAGTTAAAAAATGAAAGAGGACGCGAAGTAATATGAAAATAATAACCATGAATAGGAACAAGTTAAAAGACCCAAGACACGAGGCTTTCAAGTACAATACAATTGCTCTACCTTTCGTTGGTTTCTTTAATGAAACAACCCTTTCTTGGCAACTTATAAACATCTTTTCAGTACAACTTAAAACATGAATCCCTATCGAAAGAGGAAGCCACTTTAAAATCATGGGTTTATCCCAAGATAATTATACAAAAAAGTTTCTAAACATATTAGTGTTTAAATGGAAACAATGTCAAGCAAATTAATTACAGCGTACAAGCGTTACACGAAAAGATTTGCAAGTTATGTTGGGATTCATTTTGATCTTTAGTTAACTTTTATTTTTCATTTTTAACTTACATGTACATGTGTATCACCATGCAAAACATATCTAAAACAAAGAATAATAAAGCGGAAGCAGATATACAATTGAACTTCAACAGCTATAAAAACCGGTCAAACAAAGAACAGAAACATGAAAAAATAATAAGAAGAAGAATGGCATGAATTAAATCTAACAGGCTCTCAGACCGAACTCTTCTGTAATGTAATTTTTGTGGTACTCTGTGAGAGGCAATCCGTCTGGGATGACCGGCGAACACGGCACAAATGACGGCTCAGCTGCTTGAATGCACGCAACCCGAAGATGATAATGTGCATCCGATTCCCGAGCTAGCGGGCGTGCATAACTGTCCCGTTTGAGGGTCTTTGTAAGTCCGCCGCTCCTTTCTAGCCATACAAAAATCAATTGGATTGTGTAAGTATTTACAGTATATTGTGTGCTTTGTTCACTGGATTTGGCGTTTATTCCACATTTAATCCGCATGTTAAATATATGAAATTAATATAGTCACAGACATTTATTTATCGGCACTTACGGGCATATTACGAACCAACAAAATGACCAGCTCCTGTACCGGTGTCGCAGGGGTCCGAGCATCGAGGATGATGCCATTGTATTGGTTCGGTGAGAAGAAGTGTAGAGATAGGAGACACAACCCTGAGTGCCTTAACGGTTTTAAGAAGTTGTCAGATATAATACGCCTGTCAATTAATCTAAATGTTTATTACTATCTTTTTTATTGTACATTTCACAGCGTTAACGCGTTTTACAGCAAAATTAAATGGGTTTTCCATTTTCGTAATCTTTTAACAATAGCTGGAAGATGACTGAATTTCTTATATTAATGAGTATCTTGCATTTTTAACGCTTCAAAGCAAAAGGCAAATATATCTATATTCTGCTTATACTTAGAATTAGTTCCTGCAAGAGAGGGTAGACTGCGGGAAGCCGGTAAAAAATTTGTCACTGTGTGGCGCTTGTAAATGTTTTCGAGATTGTGAAGCTGAAATCAAATTATTTTATGTGCAATCATTAGATGTAGTTTAGAAAAGCTCACGCGCGCGTGATGTATTTTAATTTTTTAACGGTAACATATTTGCGCGATCTGGTTTCAGAGAATTTGCACTTTTCCTGGTTTTCTGAGGTGTTCCGGGTTTTTTAGGGGGTGTTCCGGAATGTTTCGTGATGTTCCGGGATGTTCCGGTGTTCCGGTGTTCCTGGAAGTACTATATGCCAATTTCAGAAGCTGGTTTAGATGAGTTGTACTTTACTTGTTTTTTTAGTTTGACTTCTTGAACAATTCAGTCTGATGATGCTTCAATTAAGCGCCGTATTGTTGTGAATGAATGTGGCGCTTATTCGTTGCGAGCGCTCTCCGATAGTTTTACTCTCACATGCGTCGCTTAATCGGGAGCTACGTCACAGTTTGCTTAGCCCAAAATTTTTTTTCCTCGTGTGTAACCTGTGTTAATCTTTGAAATTCCGATAATTACCATTGACTTTTATTTGTTCACAGGACATTTTTGTCAGGTTTGAGAACAGGGCTGTCCTTTGGCTTGTGAGCTATATTAGTCTAAAATTCTGATAATAATACCTTTTTCCATCTCGGAATGGTCCTAAGACCTCAGATATATTTTACAGTAATCAAAATAAATTTTTAACTTTTTTAAACCATGCAAGCTAATTTTCAACTTTTTAAAGCAATGGTAAGTAATGTCTAAGATTTCTGTAGACCAAAAGGAAAATAAATCAAATATCAACTATTAAAATAAATTTTAACCGTTAGCCGTATAAAAGTCAGCACCCCATTGAGACCCTCAGTACATTTGGGAGGTTTATCGGGGATTGTAAGTTCTTCAGTTTTCTTCATTTTTTTGGCAGCGGGGAGGGCTGCTTATTAGCGGAAGAGAGATCGTTTATTTGCGGGATTGTTCGAGAATATCAACGGTCAAATTTAATCTCAAAAGCCCAGGAATATACATTGTGTACCTATTTTATATTTCGAGTTTTCAAAACATGCCAACCTCTGGCTTACATACACGCGGAATTCATATTGGCTGCTTTTCTTGAAATTTAATTGATTCAGGATGTAGAAGGATTTATGCGACCTCGTTTGAGACGATGCATGCCTTTACTAATTTGCAGATCAGTCAGCTCTCGCGCTTTTAATTGCAAGTTGGTTTTAAGTAGAATAACATTTCACGTTGTTGTTTTTTCGCGTGTCCTCAGGGTCTCAAAAGACATGCATTGGAGTTACTTCGTCTGGCGCACTACAAAAGGAATCTATCAAAACTTTCAGTGATAGGCAAGTGTGGAATTTCCGTCAGGTATAAATAACGTTTGGTAGATCTGGTCAAAATTAGTGCAATAGGACCATGATTGAAAGGCAATATCGCCTGAAATATGAGACATTGGCGCGTCATTCTTATGCTGCTGTTATTCCGCGCCGCTAGACCTCCTAGTCAACTTTCTTGTTAAGAGAGTTGAACAGTTGAACCCAGTCAGGAAAAGGCAGACCACTGAAATATGAGTATAATATTCAAATTTCCTGTACTGGGATATGGCAAGTTTTCGCCTTGGAAACTTGCCGTTAACGGGTCTTAACGTTTTGGATACTAATTTTGCTCGTAAATTGGCGGCGCATTCTAACAGTGGGCAAGACTCAAACAAAGCTATGGCGTTTTCTGATCAAAATTCTTTTCAGGCAAGCAAATTCTGCTCCACAATCCGGCTCTGCTCGAGAGAAGTGACCGATCGGCTCAGCTACATCTTGTATGGATAAATTGTAGCAAACACCGCATAGAAAAACACCCGTCCTCGTTCGCAGTGTGTCCACCAACTGTAAGCAAATCTTAAGTTATGCGGTACCGCTTGGCAGATATAGCGATCTCTTTTAATTGAATAAACTCGCAATGAAAAGCAGCAGTTGCGAACGATACTCAGCAATTGCAATTAGTTTTGAAGTGTATGTCTGTTATCAAATTTCCAACCATTACCTTTTGGGTTACTAACTGTTTCGAATCCTGTCCGAATCCCCCTCAATTTCGGCTGAAAAAATGCGCAATTCTGTGGGCGCAATTCTGGCTGACGACGGTAACGAATAACGCTCGAGTTTCTAGCCTCAGGTCTATAACTAGCAGAATACAGTTCCACTCTCTGACTAGGCGGAACCGGAAACTAGCATATCAGCACGTATTATGCACATCTTAATTTGTTACCAACAACCCAAGGGATTTCCAGGTGGTCCTGCGGGATGGGCTGCGCGCGTCTGATCCAGGGTCACATCTGGCGGTCGCAAGTTCAAGTCTTGATATGTCATTAAAGGGGTTATTCTCGAACGGCTTGGGGTTCGAATAACTTCTCCCCCGATTGAGACTCAAACTCGGGCCAGGAAGAAAATCCCAGCCACGCCGAACAATTTTTTGGTTTAATTAAATGATTGATTTATTTAGTTATAAATTTTTTCAACCTCTTTGGGTTTCTTTTTTCCAACTTGTTTGGTGTTTTTTTTTTTAAATTGATTGACTAATTTTTTTTTTGCCAATTTGTTTGTATTTTTTTGTTGTTGCTGTGTTTGATGTTTCGGATAAACTTTTCCCTTATTGCTGTCGATCTTACAGATTTTTTTCTCCTTTATCGAGACTTGTTTGTTTTAAGTCTAAGCCTTCTTTTTCCCGAACTTTAAGACTTTTAAGACCGAGGCAGTTTGCCTAAATGATTTGTTAGTGGGGTGCAATTCCATCACTCGGTTTTCCAGCGGCCAATAGGGACATAAACAATTCTAATTGTTTAAAAACAGCTTTTAGTGGCAGGCGAGGGTAACACTGTAAAACTGCCCTTTTTGTAAATTTATTAGAAACAGTGCTTCAGTTTTCATGCTTTTACACTTTATAACTATCCTTTTGCTTTCACGCGAGTTTACTGAATAGAATAGGGAGTGAGCATGAATTAAACTGCAATAATGTTTTGGAATTGAAATGGTTTCCATTTTCATAATCGTTTAGCTATCGAAAAGTCATCCGCGCTTTTTAATGGGTTCTTGTCAATTTCCAAATTATTGTTGGGTTATTTTGATCTTGGGTAAGTTTTGAATCTTTCCAAATAATGCCTTAACCATTCTTTGGTGATGTATTTTTGGATGCATCATTGATGCATAGGTAATGAAATAAAATTCTCACTGTTTCGTATCGCACTGTGCAAATGATTACAATTACTTCATTGTGACTGGCTGAGAGCAGGCCAATTTATCGTTAATTCCGCTTTTAAAATTTGCACAAATTAACGCGCGCACGTTCGCAATTTTCTCAGTCATATAATAAATGAGTAATCGTGATATTTGAAAATTCTCTCAAATTACATTCGCCTAAAGGCTCCTGCAATTTTGAGAGAATTTTCAAATAATCATCACTCGTAGTGTAAATCCTTAATTTGAACTCACAGTCATATGATTACCTATACATAAATATATATCACATACGGTCAGCTAAGTGATAAATCGACAGAAGAATATTTATCATTCTGTCAGTGTCACGCAAGGACTCTCTTAAGAAAAAAAAAAGAATTTTCCACTTCTCTCAAAAACATGTGCTCTGATATTGGAACAGGCGTTTAATAACAGAATTAGACAAATCCTCTTTGTTTCGGAATTAAATGCCAAGAATCCTGCGCCATGAAGCATTCCCTTAGACAGATTTCACGATTAGGGAAAAAAAATCAAGTTGATACATAAATATAATTCAATTTCCTGAGTAACTGTATAAAAGCAATGTCGCTTAGACTTTAAAACGTTTGTCGCGCGACAAAAATAGTTTTAATGCAAAAACGATCGAGTCTCGGAGACGCCAGATTAACCGAGAGCCATCGATAGGGATCTGGTGATACTTTCATATTTTCCGAGCTGGGAGGCGAAATATTGACAGTTGTTAATAGCCGTCTTTTGCTTGAATTGTTCCGAAACAATCGCGTGTATTTAATCTCACCATCAAAACGTGGTATGGATCGCATTTCGATAAATTTATCATTATGTCTGCCGGTGATTGAAACGAATGGGCTTGCGGTGTGAGATTTCAAGGGCGCTTGGAACATGTTACCATTGAGTCGCCGTTGTAAGTTTTAACAAATTAATAAGCTTTATTTCCACACGCCATCCTTGGCTGAAATTAAATACAAATACGTTGATGTGAATGGTAATCTTTTGAAAGCGAGAGGGTTTCTTTCACGAGAAAGAATCTTAGTAAACAAAGATTGCGTGATGCAACATAAGTACAGTTTCCGGTTTCACGGTGTTATCAGAAACGTTTTTATCAACAGGAATTTTGGAGCCGAAGTGTCTTACCGATGTGTCGGAAACTTGTGATGAATTAAAGGTTTCAAGAGTCGACTAAAACAGTCCAATTTAGCTTAGCATAAACGACATTTCACTTCAGATTAAAATTTCCAATCAACGTAGAGGAAGACGATTGCACTCAGTCGAGAGCGCGAATAGAATTCACGGCGTCTGCTCGGATGACAAGATTACTTGAAATCCGCCTGTAAAAATAATTATCTTCAAATGCGTAAATAAATATGCAACGGCAAGAAAGCCTTCAAAACAAGCCCAGAGCAGGAGAGGACCAAGGACAGGCGTCGGATTTCAAGTAAAATAGTTTTGTGTAGTGTAAACATTTCTGGCAATCTTCACATTGGATACGTCTCGCAATCACTGTCAAAATACCTACCTACGAACGCAACAACCTTCCCTCGACTTCAGAAAGACGCGCTTCAACTATTTGTTTTATTGTAAGGCGAGGAATTTGCCTTCAATTTAGCGCCAAGGTTTATATTTTGGCGAGTTTGACTTTGGCCACGATTTCCGCGGCGCTGAATATGCTGTAGACTGGATGGAAAAATCTGATAACGACGGATCTTGAAGAGTTGTTTAATTACCGCGTTGAGCGAAATTTTAGCTGTGACAGCGAGGAGGACATTTGTCGGGGGACGCGGGCTGATCACTAAGCGATAAAGCTAAGCATTCTTTTACGGGTTTAAAACACGGAGGTCCAACACGACACACGACATTTGTTCTTTGACGATCATTTGTGCGAAGCTCGGAGCGGTGAAACTCCAGCGTTGTACCGTCATCTGGCAATTACCATATCACAGACTTTTGAAACAAGTAACATCTTGAAACACGGCGGTATTTGACTATGGCGGACGAACATGATACTATGGCGAACCAGTCTTGGGTTTATGTCGATGACGAACTAGAGAATTACTCCGAAAGCCTGCCAGCACATGCGATTTTTCAACTGATCCTCTTTACGGCAATCTTCGTGGTGGGATTCTTCGGCAATTCCATCGTTATTTACGGCGTTCTTCAACAAGGCTCGTCTAAAACTACAAGCAGCTGTTTCATCGCGAATCTGGCCTTGAGCGATTTAGCTGTGCTGGTGCTAAGCCTACCTGTAGGTCTCCTACAAGAACTTGCTTCATGGCCGTTCGGCGAGGTTGCCTGCAAGATTTTCTTTCCCCTCGGCGACGTGTTTTTGACTGTCTCCCTTATGACCCTCACAGCCATTGCGCTGGATCGCTACCGTGCGATAGTCACGCCGTTTAAAAAACGCGTCAGCAAAACTCAAGCGAAAGTCTGCATCGCTCTCATCTGGATCTGTAGTTACCTAGTGGTTGGAATTCCCACTTCGTTCATTCTTAAACTTGTCTCGACGGACGGAGTGAAAATCTGTTACCCTTTTTGGAACACCGACATGGAGAGGCAGATTCACAAAATCCTCATTGCTTCGTTAGCCACTCTACC